CTCAAAACCCAAAACCAAAACAATCCCCTGAGTAAAGGTACCTGGAGAGGCCGATCTGAGATCAGGGCGCTGACCTACACCCCGACTTCTGCCCCCGGTCACCCCAGTGCTCTGTTTCCCGCTTCTCTAGGTGCTCTTCCACCCAGCGGTCCCCGGAGCAGTTCCTCAGCGCCTCCTGCCAACCCCGCCGGCGGCCTCATGAACCCCAGCCTGCCCTTCACGTCCTCCCCGGACCCCGCGCCTTCCCAGAACCCCCTGTCGCTGATGATGTCCCAGATGTCCAAGTACGCCATGCCCAGCTCCACCCCGCTCTACCACAATGCCATCAAGACCATTGCCACCTCAGACGACGAGCTGCTGCCCGACCGGACCCTGCTGCCCCCCCCACCGCCACCGCAGGGCTCGGGGCCAGGTGCGAGGCTGGGGGGGGCGGCCAGTGGCGGGTTGTGGGGGCTGCCCTAACCCTGGGGAATTGCTGGCTCTTTTTGGTTTGGCCGTGGCCTCACCCAGCGGTGCTCAGGGCTGACCCCTGGGTCTGTGCTCAGGGATCCCTCCTGGGAGTTGCTCGGGGGACCCTAGGGGGTGCCGGGGATCGAACCGGGCCCCGAATTGCTGACTCTGCTGTCCTTCCAGAGGGTCCCGGAGGTGGGGTGTGGTTCCCCAGACACCAGTTTCCACTCCAGGGGATTTCGTGAACCCAAACAAACGCAAGCGTGCAGGTTCTCTCCGGCCACGTAAAAAGCCCGGACCCTCGGTTCTACAGGGAAACGCCGAGGCAGCTGCAGGCCAGTGCTGGGCCACCAGCCTGGCTGGGACGTGGGGACGGGCGCATCCTGCGGGGACAGGCCCCTTCCTGAGACCCGTTTCCTCTCTCCCTACAGGGATCAGCGGCAGTCAGCCCAACCAGATGCACCTGAACTCAGCCACCGCGCAGAGCCCCATGGGCATGGCCCTGCCTGGCCAGCAGCCCCTGTCCCACGAGCCCCCGCCCACCATGCTGCCCTCCCCCACCCCACTGGGCTCCAGCATTCCAATGCACCCCAACGCACAGGGGAGTGGAGGGCCCCCTCAGAACTCCATGATGATGGCTCCGGGGGGCCCAGACGCTCTGAATGCCCCCTGTGGCCCCGTGCCCAGCTCCTCCCAGATGGTGCCCTTCCCCCCACGGCTCCAGCCCCCGCACGGTGCCATGGCCCCCAGCGGGGGCGGGGGCGGGGGCCCTGGCCTGCAGCAGCACTACCCTGCAGGCCTCCCACTGCCCCCTGAGGACCTGCCCAGCCAACCGCCGGGCCCGCTGCCCCCGCAGCCTCACCTGATGGGCAAAGGCATGGCGGGCCGCATGGGGGACGCGTACCCCTCGGGCGTGCTTCCGGGCGTGGCCTCGGTGCTCAACGACCCCGAGCTGAGCGAGGTGATCCGGCCCACCCCGACCGGCATCCCCGAGTTCGACCTGTCGAGGATCATCCCCTCGGAGAAGCCCAGCAGCACCCTCCAGTACTTCCCCAAGAGCGAGAACCAGCCCCCCAAGGCCCAGCCCCCCAATTTGCACCTCATGAACCTGCAGAACATGATGGCGGAGCAGACGCCCTCGCGGCCTCCCAACCTCCCGGGCCAGCAGGGCGTCCAGCGGGGGCTCAGCATGTCCATGTGCCACCCCGGACAGATGTCTCTGCTGGGTAGGACAGGCGTGCCCCCACAGCAGGGCCTGGTGCCCCACGGCCTGCACCAGGGGGTCATGCCCCCTCCCCAAGGCCTCATGACCCAGCAGAATTTCATGCTGATGAAGCAGCGGGGCGTGGGGGGCGAGGTCTATAGCCAGCCCCCTCACATGCTGTCCCCGCAGGGCTCGCTCATGGGCCCCCCGCCCCAGCAGAACCTCATGGTGTCCCACCCGCTGCGGCAGCGCAGCGTGTCCGTGGACAGCCAGATGGGCTACCTCCCGGCGCCGGGCGGCATGGCCAACCTGCCCTTCTAGCGACCGGGCCGGGGCCGGGACCGGGGGGCCGGGTGGGGGAGGCGGCGGCCGAGGGGCTTGGCCGGGAGTGGCTGTTGGTGGAAACCAGATGTGTTGGCAGTGGACGGGGTCGGGTGGCTAAGTGGGGTGGGGGATGTGGAGAGTGGGTTTCGTGTCGGCCAGCAGGACTGCCCCCCCGCCCCCACCCTGTTCCTCCAAGTCTCTGGAGTCCGTTGGCTCTCTCTCTCTCTCTCTGTACCCCGAAGTCCCAGGTCGGGGGCTCCCTCCGTCCCTCTCCCCTCTGTTCCCCACTCCTGGCTGGTTTTACTTTCCTTCCCTGAACTTCTCTGCTCTCCCCGGTTCTGCATAGCTGTCCTCTTGTCTTTTCCTACCTCTTCTCTCCCTGCAGATGTGGCCGCCCCCTCCCACCCCTCCCTGCGGGCGGCTGGCCAGGTGGGCGTAGGGGCTGGCCGCAGCTGTAAATAGAGCTGCACTTTTGTGTCTGTGTGTGTGTGTGTGTGTGCGCGCGCGTGTGGGCGTGCGCGTGTGTGGGCGTGTGCGTGTGCGTGCGTGCGTGCGTGCGTGCGTGCGTGTGTGTGTGTGCCGTGTTTCTGTGTTTTGATAGAAGTCACACACACACAGGATAGAAGAAATCCATGCCCCCTCCTGACTGAAGAGATTGCCTCTCTCACCCCTACCTGCCCTCTCTCCCGCACCCCTGCCCCGTTTGCAGTCCCCAGCATCCCTCAGGGATGCACATTCATGGTGAAATGAACCCGGTACCCGGACCTGAGCCGAGGGTAGACCATCCAGGCCTCCAGCTGGAGAGCCCAGGGTGGGGGTGGGGGCAGACTCCTCCCACTGAGGCAGCCTGTGCTGCTGAGAGTGGGAGGGGGCATAGGGCACCCCAGCGGGTGGTCCCCTGCCACTGTGACTGAGCCAGAGCTTGAAGTCCTGGGGTTCCATGCAGGATGGAGGGAAGAGGCAGGGTCCCTCCGGACTGGCTGGTGGCCCCCGCTAGCCAGGGCCCAGGCCGCCGCTGCCTCCTGGTCCAGGAGGGGTCGGCTGAGGCTGCTGGGCCCTGTGACCGGCTCGCTCAGGCCATCTGTCCAGCACAGCCGGTCTGCTCCCCACTGCCCTCCTGCCTCTGGTTGACAGAAGCCATACTCAGGCCCCAGGAGTTAAGCACTTCTTTTCCTCACTTCCTCTCCTGCCCTGTGAGGAGACAGCTCCGTGTGTCCCGGGGCCATTTCGAGACCTTCTCCAGGTGTCTCAGGGCCTACTCGCCCTCTGGCAGCTGACTCAAAGGGACTCCCCACTTCTCCCTCTGGTGCTGTCCTCAGCCCACTGGGGCTACCTGCAGGCTCCTGCCGGCCCCCCACCCCCCACCCCCCAGCCCCTCCAGAGGTCAGGGCCTGGCCTCTGAGCTTAGGCTTCCTGCCAGGCGCTTTGCCCCCTCTGCTCTGCTCCACCTGGACCCTTCATCCCTGAGTGCCCCCCATCCCCAGCCTGACTTCATGTCTCCCGCCCAGAGAGGAGAGGGGTCAGATGGCAAAGGGCCCATTGCCCGCCACCCCTGCCATCAGACTAGCTTTCCAAGGTGAGCGTCACAGACCAGCCGCCCGTTCGTTCACCCGTGGCCACACCCCCGGCCATTTTGTACCATTATATAAATATATATATAAATATAAATATATAAATACAATATGTGAAGACATCTTCTTGGTTTTTATTTTGAGACGATTTTTAGGCTTGTTCCGGGGGTTCTGTGCTGCCTGTACTGTATTGACCTGTTTTATAGGTGCCTTTTTATTAAAAAGAAAATGAAAAATCTGACCACGCCTGGTCTTGTTGCTTCCGTCTCTTGCCCCACTTGCCTTGGAGGATGGGAGATACTTGTTTAAAGGTGGGGGCTCCTCCTCACTGTCAGTGGTGAAGAGGGTCTCCTGGTTTACAGCTCTAGTCCCCTCATCTGCCTGGGGGGCGTCCCTAGGATCGGGCACTGGGGCAGGTCTCCGAGTCAGACGGAGGGCAGACGTGGGGGTGATGTTCCTCAGGCGTGGTGAATGTGGGGTGCAGCTGCTTTTGGTTCCATCTGAGTCATACCCCCTGGGGACAGAGCCAGCTTCCTGGGCCCTGTGACTTGCCTGAGGTCCAGAGAGATGGTGGCTCTAGGCGTGACCTCCCTAGCTCTGCTCTGACTCCTAGTGCAGTGCTCTTCGTAGGGAGGGGTGGGGAGTATAGCACTGCCCAGACCCATCAGTGACCCCAGTCCAGCCTGGCAGCTCATCGCCCCTGCAGTCACTTGTTCCACCTTGGGCTCCTGTCCTGCTGGCCGGGCCTGATGCTTCGCCAGGACACCGCCGGTCTCTCACAGGGTCTGGAGTCAGTCCTGGTCTGCTGCCCTCCCAGGACCCAGTGGTCTGGGGCTGACCCGTTTGCCATCTTGGTGAGGGCCGGGCCAGGGTGAGCTCTGCGCTGGGTCTGGCTGCGTGTCTGCATGAGGCCAAGAGTGTGTGGTCAGCTGTCTGGGAGATGCTGCCGGAGGTTCTGCTTTGGGTTGGGGTCATGCCCATAGTGCTGGGGACGGGGTGAGGATGTCTCTTTTGGCAGTGTCTGGGGGACTGTGCGGGGCCTGGGGTCAAACCTGGAGGTCCCGCATGCCAAGCCTGTGCTCCTGCCTTTCCAGAACACAGTGATTTTTTTGGGGGGGGGGGTGGAACTGCTGGCAAGAGCCGACATCTAGCGGCTTCTTGAGCTTGGCAGGTTAAGGCAGCAGCAGCTGGCAGGATGGGGCTGGGGTCCTCCCGCCCTGAGCACAGCACCCCACAGGTGGGTCAACCCGAGCTGCCTCCCCTCCCCGGATTCTACCTGTGCCCCAGGATGAATCGCTGGCAGGGAGGCGTAGAGAGGGCCTGGTGAAACCCACTGCTCACTGGAGCCCACTGGCTAAAGTGAGCTCTGAGGACCCCGGGGTCTTGCTGGCAGGGTCCCAGCATCACGGTGCTCCCCCCCAAGAGAGGCGGACACAGTGGGGTTCTGGGCCCTAGAAGGTGGTGAGGGAGGTGGCATTCTCGGACTCAGACAGGCTGCTCTTGCGCCAGCTTGGGAAGAGCTGGCAGAGGGAGGCGGGCCCGGCACAGCCCAGCTTGGTCAGTAGTCGAGACAGGTCACTGCGGAACTTGACACCCGCGAACGTGTAGAGCATGGGATTGAGACAGCAGTGGGCGAGGCCCAGGAACTCGCTCATGGTGATGGCCACGGACAGGTAGCTGTTCAGGTTGCAGCTGGTGTCCATGGCCTGCAGCCTCACCAGCGTGTCCAGGAAGATGACGATGTGGTAGGGGGACCAGCAGAGAAAGAAGATGCTTGTCACCAGGATGGCCACCCGCACCGCCTTCTGCCTCTGCAGGCGCCGCTGGGCCTGGCACAGCCTGTGGACCACCCCGACATAGCACCAGCTCATCACCAGCAACGGCAGCAGGAACCCGCCCAGGTGGTAAAGGAAACGGGAGGCGAACCAGGCTCTGGCCACGGCGGGGGTCTCCTGGGAGAAGGCGCAGCTCGGCAGGCTCTCATTATAACGGGGCTCGCTGACCTTGGCAAAGAGGATCTCTGGCAGGGCGAAGAGGATGCCGGCGACCCAGACGGTGGCACAGGTGATGTGGATGGAGCCCAGGCGCCGGTGGCGGTAGGCGTGGACGGCGTGGACGATGGCCAGGTAGCGGTCCACGGCAATGCAGGCCAGGAGCAGGCTGCTACAGTAGAAGTTGATCTTGTGCAGAGCAATGACAGTTTTGCAGAGGAAAGTGCCCAGGACCCAGCCCACGAAGCCCTCGGCCACAGCAAAGGGCAGGATGAAGACTAGGAGGAGGTCAGCCACCGCCAGGTGGAACAGGAAGGTCTCGGTGGAGCTGCGCGTCTGCCGGTGCCGCTCCAGGATGGCCAGGACCAGGATGTTGCCCAGGAGGCCCAGGAGGAAGATGAAGCCGTAGGCCAGGGGCATGAACACGGCCTTGAAGGACGTCAGGAGGGGGCCCTCCACCAGGGAGCAGATGGGCGTGTCCATGTCGAGGTTCTCTGTGCTGTCACTGTAGTTTCTAATAATCTCATTGTACTGTAAAAGAGACCAGGAATGAGGCTCCTTCCCTTGTGAGACAGACCCTGAGCCTGTCCGATCACCTCAGCTTCTGCACTCCCTCTTTTTGTGGACTTTGGGTCACACTCAGAGGTGATCAGGTGTAGCTTCCAGTGGTGCTCAGGGGACTACACGGTGGCAGGATCGAAGCCGGGTCTCGGCCTGCTGAGCACCTCTATCTCCCTCCCTCCTTTCTTCCTCCTTCGTTCGTTGCTTCCTTCTTTCCTTTCTTCCTCCCTGCCTCCCTCCTTCCTTCCTCTCTGTTTTTTGTTTTGTAGGGGGACCACACCTTCAGCGGTTACTTCAGCGGTAACCCCTGGCTCCACACTCAGGAATTACTCCTGGAGGTGCTTGGGGAACCATATGGGATGCCGGGGACCGAACTCAAGTTCTATCTGCTGTCCTATCTCTCTGACCCTTTACAGAGGATAGTACAAGGGGCCAGCGGCCTCTTGCCCTGCACACAGCTGAGCTGGCTTGATTCCTGACATCCCCTGAGCACCACCAGGAGTGATCCCTGAGTGCAGAGCCAGGAGTAACGCCTGAGCAGCCCTGGGGGTGCCCCCCCCAAAAAAGGAGTGGGGCATTAGTGCTAGGGTCTCCAGTCTTGACTTGTTCCCCAGTACTCTCTTCCTTGCCACTGAAACTGGGGCACTGTCCCCCCAGCTCTACTCCCACACCCGGTAACAGTTCAAGTTCAAGGGCTAGACTTATCACATTTCACCTGCGCTGTTGCCTTCAACACCCAGCAAACCCGCGCTCTGCTCCCCTACAGCCAACAGAGCAGAGGCCGGCGCTGCCCCAGGAGTCGCCCTGGGAAGGGGAAGGTCCCACGTGTGTCCGGAAGCCCCTCCCCCAGGGCAGCTGTTGCCGGAACCGCAGAGGAAGGCCGGGACCTGTTTTCGCACCTTTCACTCACCGCTGCTGCACACCTGCTCGCCTTCACAGCGTGTGTCTAAGCCCTCTCCAGCCCACTTCTTTTTTTCTTTTCCTTTCCTTCTTTTAAAAAAACTTTTTTAATTGAATCGCTATGAGATAGGCCCTTACGAAGCCGCTCATGATTAGGTTTCATACAGTGTTCCGACACCCATCCCTCCACCAGTGCCTATTTCCCAGCACCAGTGTCCCTGGTTTCCCTCTCATCACCCCCCACTCCCACCCCCCAGACCACCCACTCTGTCTCTGTGGCAGGCACTTTTCCTCTCTCTCTCTCTCCCTCTCTCTTTCTCTCTCTCTCTCTCTCTCTCTCTCTCTCTGTCTGTCTCTGTCTCTCTCTCTCTCTCTCTCTCTCTCTCTCTCTCTCTCTCTCTCTCTCTCTCTCTCCTTTTGGCATTGTGGATTGCAATACAGATACTGAAAAGTTACCAGGAGTATTCCTTTACCTACTTTTAATACTCGGTTCTTGGTTTTGTTTTGTTTTGTTTTTTTTGGGTCACACCCGGAGATGCTCAGGAATCATTCCTGGCTCATGCATCCAGGAATTACTCCTGGTGGTGCTCAGGGGACCATATGGGATGCTGAGAATTGAACCCGGGTCGGCAGCGTGCAAGGCAGATGCCCTACTCACTGTGCTATTGCTCCAGCCCCCAATACTCGGTTCTTGTCCAGCATAATCATACCCAGCTGTTATATTGTTTTCACACTGGTCTCTTCTCTATCCTACCTACCACCTGTCCCCCACACACTTGTGATTGATTCCAACCATGGTCCAGCCCACTTCTGTGGGTCTAGAAAGCACGAGATGCCCGTCACCCCCCAGCCATGAGCTAAAGGAGTCCCTGGGCACTGCTCAAATGAAAGGAAAAGCTGTGGGGAGTGGAGTGGGGGGTGTCAGGGGTTCAGGCTCAGCTGAGGTCCCTGGTACCCCATAGCTCCCTCACCCCAACTCCACCAGCTGTGGGCCCCTGGCCCTTCTGGGAACGCCTCTCCAAAGCCACCTTGTCTACACAGGTGGTGCCCAGGAAGGGCATGTGTGTACACATACATACACGCACACATTCTTGTGCATGGAAACAAAGAACACACACATATGCAATACACACGGGACATGAGCACACTTGTACACACATACACACATGCATACACTTCCTCCCACGAATACTGGCTGAGGGAGTTGTGTGACTGGCTGCGGGTGGCTGCACATATAAGCATGTGTATACACACATACGCACATGCCCACACTCAGGCACATGGATACATAGAACACATGTGCAATACACACATGGGTGCACACACATACTCATATGTGTACAAACATGTACATGCAGGTCCCCCCTCTGGCTTCGGGCATGCACTGCAGCCAGGTCGTCTCATGTCTTGACCCAGACATGTGCAGGCCCAGTGAGAAGGGCGGGGGGCAGTCTCAGCCCAGTCTTCAGGGGCTTGGGAAGGTGTGGGTCCAGACATGGGGCCACCCCGCTATTTCCTTAGGGGCTCAAACGTCCAAGACAGCCTCTGAGATGCCGCTGTGACACTGTCACATCTTCCCTGTCCCCTGCCCCTCTTCCATCTCTGTCCTAGGCTTTCAGGGCTGGGAACAGCTCAGTGGTTTCAGGGAGAGGATTTAGGTGGCCCCTAACTCTGCACTGAGTTTTTAGATTTAGGGTGTCATCCCTTCGGCACCCCCAAATCATCTGCACTGTCCAGGGGTCATGAAGAGGTTCCCTAAGGGCTCCACATTAACCTCATCAATCATGGGGGTCAGAGCCGATTTGAACCCTCAGCCCTACCTTCCCTGAAGGAACATTCTGGTGCTGGAAGCCCCGGGTCACGTTCCCGGTCGGCATGGAGAGTGGGGTCTGCTCATGCGTGTCCTCCGTGTCCGGCGGAGATGTGGTCTGTGAGTTGGGGCCCAGAGCGACACCGCCACGGGGCTCTTCCCCTCCCCTCTCGCCCTCCCTGTTCCCCCCAGTTGCCACCCCCGCAGGGGTTCCTTGGGGACTTTTGACCCAGTTGGGGGGTGATCCTCCCCTCCCCTACGGTAAAGCCCAGAAAAGCCAGAGCTGGTTTTGGTTCCTCTTCCTCACACCTCAGACGAAATAAGTGGGTGTACCTGGAGCTTGCCCCGTGGCCGCCGCTCAGGGGCTCTGATCAAGGGAGGCAAGGCCACGGTCTCCCCCCAGATGCCCCAGGTCCACTTGGCTCCAGGAAGCCCCCCAAGGAGCAGGGCTGCCGTGCACAGATGGAGTCCTGGGACCTTTCCTGCAGGAGGGGCCCTGGCAGGCCCAGCCCGGGGACAGACTCTCATTCCTGCTCCTCCGTCATCTGGGTTTGGATCCTTCATTCCTGGGGATCTGCAGCCCAGCACAAGCAAGTGGACATTCCACTAGAACAGCGGGAGGAGGGGACACCAGGGAGGTCAGTGCTTGACTGCTGACCAACAGACCTTCATTCTTCTTTTGCTCTTGGGAATCACTCCTGTGCTGCTTAGGGGGCCATATGGGATGGCAGCGATCGAACTTAGGTTGGCTGCGTGCAAGGCCAGTGCCCTCCCTGCTGCGCTACAGCTCGGGCCCAAGAGCCTCTTGTCCTTTTTACCGGATTTGCTTGCAGTGCTGGGGATGGAACCCAGAGCTTCCCACGTGCAAAGCACAAGCCTTCCCGTGGAACCCTCCAGTTCTCAACCCCAACACGTGCTGTAGAACCCAGTGTTCTGGACATGCAAGCCAGAGTGCTTGCATCCAGACTAGGGCAGGGGTGAAGCAGGAAGTCAAAGGAATGGAGGATGGACAATTCCAGAAGCTGCAACCACCCAAGCACCACTGAGGCTCGCTCATGGAGAAGCTGCCTCGTGCGAGCTTTATGTGCTCGTGCTATCCTGTGGCCCCGCAGCTGGCACAGCTGTCGGATGCTGCTGTGAGTGGGCGGAGTGCAGGGAGCTCTGCACCTCTGCATTTAAAGAGCGCAGGGGTGAGTGAAGTGAGTTGGGGCTACAAAGGTTCACGGTCCTGGGCACTGGGGGTCAGGGTGGGACCCTGACTGAGGCCTGCCCCGAGGCCTGCACTTGTTGCAATGTGACATGCAGCAAAACCAAAGCTTGTCTCTTGCCCCCTCCCCCCTGCTAGGTGGAAGCTTCCCATGTTCTGTAGGTCTCGCCCTGCTGCCCCCGGAGGGCCCCCCGCTGCCACCTGTGCCTAGTAGGTCACTCTGCGGAGAGAGGCGCAGTTAAGGGAAATTCTGAGGTTTCTCAGAATGGACAGATCTCGAGTTGCTTACAGGGATAGCCAAGTGGGTCAGGGCTCGTGGTCAGACTGAAGCTTTGGGCAGAGGAAGACGCCCCATACAAACATTGTGGGGTCAGGGGTGAGTGGGGAGCAGGTGGTCCTGTGGGAATGTGGGACCCACCCAGACCTGTTGCTTCACTGCAGAGCCAGTGAGGGAGTTGAGAGAGTTGTGGGACCCTGTCCCTTTTTTTTGGGGGGGGGGGAGGGCATGGGTTGGGCCACACCTGATGATGCTCAGGGGTTTCTCCTGGCTCTACACTCAGGAATTACTCCTTGTGGTGCTCGGGGGACCCTATGAGATGCCGGGGACCAAACTTGGGTCAGCCACATGCAAAGTAGGAGCCTTACCCACTGGACTATCTCTCTAGCCCCTGACCCTGTCACTTTTGAATCTGGGACTGTGCATTTTCATTTTGCATTAGGCCCCACAGGTGACAAAGCTGGGGAGAAGGCACAGGCGGTGCTGGCTCTGGAGTTGGGACTGGGTAGCTAGATTTAGTGGAAGGTGGTCTTGTCTCCCCACCTTTGCCTGGACTTCATTCACGGCTCCCACCTGGGGCTCTGGCCATGATGGCAGATGTGTTTAAGCCAGTCTGGGACCACAGCTGGGGCGTTCCAGTACAGATGCTAGCCAGGGAGTCAGAGGGAGTGGGGGGTCTTCTCAGGGCATGTTTGGGGTGAAAGTAGGAGGTGGGCTGGTGCCCTCCAGACCCAGAGGCAGTTCATATGTCCTCTCCCAGAACGCCATAGGGGCCGGGAGGAAGACCATCAAAACGTTTCTGCGAAACTCTCACCCACAGTGCTCTGTTGCACCCAGACCTCTGTGTTCTCTGGTTGAGCTGAGACAGCTCAGAAATTCTTAAGAAGCCCCATGGCAGCCAAGCCAGTGGAACCTCTGTTTCCTTGAGGAGGTCTGGGGGTGCAGAGCACAGCCAGGACCCTTTCCTTAGCACACCCCTAAGGGTCTGCCGAGCTAGCAGCACTGTGAGGAGACCACAACCTCTCCAAGACACTCCTGGGAAGCGCAGAGAATTCCCTCACCAGCCAGCACCTGCTGCCCCCAACTCCACCCACTGGGGTGTTCTCCCTTGCCAGCCTCCCTACGCCGCAGTGGGGCAGATGAGATCGTGTAAGAGCTTTCAGCCGGCGCATCCTTTCTTGGTGACACCACTGCCTGCCATTTGCGGGAACAGGTCCCCCATCTCCCCACCTCACCCCCAGTGCACACTGCATACCCAGACGAAGACACAGAATTAGACAGACTTGAAGAGTCCACTGGCAAAGCCAGAGGCTTAAGAAGTCTCCTGAAGTAATTTCCCACAGAACCCGCCAAATCAGGAGAGGACCCGCTTCTAGAGAAGGAGATACAGAGACACCAGGGCATCTATGAGTCTGCATGAAAGCAGGACCCAAGGCTTGCCGCCACCCCCGAAGAATGTGTAATAAAGGTTTTCCTTCACAAGAATGGGGGACAGCTTCTCAGCAGTGGCACAGGGGACCCATCTCCCTGGGGGTTGGTCCCTGGAGACTTGGATCCCAGGCAGGGCATGTCCCCCCTCAGCTGTCCATCCCTACTCACCAGCTCCTCCAGGTCCCTACTCGTGCTGTTCATGTCCAGGGTGAATGTGTAGCTCATGACCGTGGGTGCGTGGCACCTTCTGCTAGCTGTGTGGCTCTGTGTCCGCCCAGCGGGAGAGAGGTGACAGCCGTCAGCGGCAAATTTAACCAAATGAGCAAGATGACTTGCACACAGTCTCCTGGAGCTGTGGGCACCCGTCTAGGTCTTTTGTTTTGCTTTTTTTTTTTTTTTTAAAGAAAAAGGGAAAATCCCCAGCACATAATGCTAGCCAAGCATTTCTGCCTCTTTCTGGCACCATCTCATTTGGGGCATTAAAGACTGCACCATGTACCATCACCAGCGCCCCCAAGAGCCGGGGGTCATACCTCCCACCCCCAAACCTTCATCTCTCGCCCCACTCAAGAGCCCAACGGGGTGCCCAACCCTAAAAGTCCCCTGCCCTGGGAAGCCCCTTGGTCCCAGGCAAACAAGGATACTCGTACCCCGTGGGGTTCTGCTACTAGCTTCAGGTCACTAGTCAAGTTCAAAATTTTTAAAGGTCACCAGATGAACACATTACTGGAAGACACAAATGAAATTACCCAGATGATCAAACAGTCATTTTTAGACACAAAAATAATGACGTGGCACCAGACAGCCCAGGGACTCAGGCACATGCCTGGCATGCTGCCGACCCTGGTTCAATCCCTGAAACCATGTGATCCCCAGCACCACTTATGGGTGGCCCTGAGTCCCATGGCAGGGGGTGGTCTGGGTAATTTCCTAGCGGTGCAGGGTTCAAGCAGCCCCATGTTCTGGTTTGCTGAACCATCAGCCCTGCTGGCCGAAAACTGCTGGGAGGTCCCTTGAGCCCTACGTGGCTGAGTCCCTCGCCCCCCACCAAAGTGTTATGTAAGTTAGCTACAGCTTCGCTTGGTGGGCATGTGGGTTCTGCACACGGTACACCGCAGCACGTGGTTGGCCACAAGGCTCCTGAGGCCTGAGGGGAGAGTGCCCACTCTGTGAGCAGAAAAGTGGTGACTCCTGACCTGAGTCTGTGAACTTCTTTCTCCATCCTGGCGGGATCCACGCCCTTCAGTGCCCGTTGGTGTGTTTCCCTCCAGAAGCCCCTCTGCAGCCAGTGTGTGGCCCCTGGTTCACCCAATTTTGGTTTGGGCCCCATCTGCTCTTGGTGTTCGATTGGAAGTTGAGCATCCCGAGGGTCACAGCACCAGGCTGTTTCTCTGCCCGGCCCTCCCCCCCCCTCCTTTCAACCAGCCCTCCCTCCGCTGGAATTCTGCCCTTCCCTGTATCTGCCTTCACTCTTTCCTCCCCATCTTCCCTTTCTCTCCACACCATCACCTTCATGATCTTCAAGACTCAGTGCACTTTGGTTTTGTTATTGTTGTTTGGTTTTGGTTTTGAGCCATATCTGGCAATGCTCAGGGCTCTGCGTCAAGGGGTGACTCCTGGAACCACAAGGGCCACTGGGATCAAACCCTGGTCGGGAACTTGCAAGGCAAGCGCCCTGCCTTCAGTTCTGTTGCTCCAGTCCCAGTACTTGGTGACCTTTGAACTGGGAATTGTGCTGTTATCTCCTCTCTCTCTCTCTCCCTCTCTCTCTCTGTCTCTCTCTCTCTCTCTCTGGCTTTCCTCTCCTCACTGTTTTCAGCAACTGTCTCCAAGAGGAAGAATTCCAGCTCTTCGATAGGAAGTTGTCCCCAATGTTCCTTATGTCCTATGTTGGCTATGCAATCCCCATTCTTTTTTTGGGGGGGTCACACCCAGCGATGCTCAGGGGTTACTCCTGGCTCTGTACTCAGGAATTACTCCTGGCAGTGCTTGGGGGACCATATGGGATGCCAGGGATCGAACCCGGGTCGGCCGCGTGCAAGGTAAACGCCCTACCCGCTGGGCTTTCTCTTCGGTCCCTGCAACTCCCCGTTCTTCCTCTCTTCAGCATCTGTGTCCCTCCAACCCACTGACAAAGTCAGCCCCAAGGAAAGGGCATGGAAGATAATGTCATGTGGGACCAGAAGGCATTTTAGAAGGCCAACCCATCTGTCCATGTTCTCTCTGCCCTGCTCCCAGAAAGTGCAAGATTCTGTTTGTTTTGGGGGGCCTTACTCAGCAGTACTCTGGGATTATTCCTGGTGCTACATTTGGGGGTTGCTCTTAGGTCACTCTCTAGGATCAAGGACTAGGTCTCCAGCAGGCAAAGAATATACCCCAGCCCTTGAGTTGTCTCCCAGCTTAGAAAGTGTGAGATTATTGTTACTAATTGCTACTGTTCGTGTTACTCCTCACTATTACCGCTCATTACAATTCTTTTTACTGTCATCATCAAATGGTCACCTGTATTGGATGAACAGCACCAAGGGGGAGAAGCTTGTTCCTTTCCGGATCTAAAATTCTAAAGTAACGCCAGAGAGATCTCTGAAAGACCTGATTTATACTTTGCCTGCCTGAGGCCTGGGTTTGATGCCAGCCCTGTGGGGTTTCCCCAGTGACCACTGGGAGTGAGTCTCAAAATCAGAACCAAAAGTCGCCTTGAAGCACCACCAGGTATGGCCCCCAGACCAAAAACATAAAATAAAGGAGGATGAATTCGTTTCTCATTTGTTTCCTAGAACTTATTTCTCATCTGAGTTAACACACATTTTCCCGTGGCTACTGCCCAGGAGCTCTGTCTGTCCTGCCGGACTGCCCAGGCCCTTATCCTGCACAGGCCCTGTCCAATGAGCACGCTCCATTCAAACCGGTCCCCAAGGGGCAAGGATTCTGGGCTCTCATCAGTCTGTCCTTTGACCTCTGGGTGCTTTTTTGGTTACTGTTCCAGGAATTATTATTGGACTAGGACAAGATGTAGGGAAATATGTTTGAGATTCCATATCACCGAAGTAAAATGTCTGGGCCCAAGAGGAAGCTCAGAAGGCTGGAAACCAGGTTTCACACGCAGGAGGCCTGGATTCCTCCCCCAGTACGGCACAAGGTCCCCTGAGCACTGAGAGTGGACTAGTTTCAAGTACTGTTGTGTTGATGCTCTTCAAGGTTAGGGCTTCCTTGCAGGAGCAGGACAGGGACTGGTGGGTAAGGGTTTGGAGGGAGTGAGGTGGGGGGCCTGGAGGACCACATGCAGAAAGGTGCAGAGAGAATTGTTCAAGATGGTGGGAGTGGTGATGGGAGGGTGATAACAAGGCCCGGGGAGACAGTTGCCCTCACCGACTAGGCAGGAAGTGCTCTTGTGTCCTTCTGTTGATTTTTTCTTATTTGTTTGTTTGGGGCCACACCCGACTGTGCTCAGGGTCCACTCCTGGCTCTATGCTCGGGGATCACTTCTAGAAGGGCTTGGGGGGCCATATAGGGGACTGGGGATTGAGTCTTGGTCTGTGGTGGGCACGGCCAGCGCCCTGCCCACTGTGCTATCTCTCTGGCCCCAAATTTTGGATTTGTGCCACACCAAGCAGTGCCTGGGGCTTACTCCTGACACTGTGCTCAGTGATCACGCCTGGGGGGGGGGGGTGCTTGGGATTTGAACAGGGTCAGCTGCACTAAACTAAATAAGTGTTTTCTTCACCGGACTCTCTTTCCAGCCCAAGGGATCCTTTGAGTTTATTTATTTATTGATCGATTTTGCTTTTTGGGTCACACCTGGTGATGCTCAGGGGTTACTCCTGGCTCTGCACTCAGGAATTACTCCTGACGGTGCTGGGGGGACCATATGAGATGCCGGGGATCAAGGCACATGCCCTACCCGCTGTACTATCGCTCCAGCCCTAGGATCCTTTGACTTTCAAGACGTGAGGCTCAGATGAGGGGAGATACTTCCAGGTGACACAGCCTAAATTTTTTTTTTCTGGACCTTACCTGGTGGCTCTTGGGGCTTCTCCTGGTTCAGTGCTGGGGACAGAACCGAGGGAAGCAGGTCCCCATTCCTGTCTCCTTTTTCTCCTCTTTCTGTGAATCTTTTCCAGCCAATGGGCACAGAGATCCCCAGGGTCCCCGTGTGGGCATCATTCAGAGCCTAAGACCTGCCCCAAAGCCATATGTAAAGCCCTGCCATTTGGACATTGACTTTGTTTTGTTTGGGGGCCACATCTGGCGATGGTCAGAGGTATCTCCTGGCTCTGCACTCAGGAATTACTCTTGGCGGTGCTCAGGGGACCATATGGGATGCTGAGGATTGGACTTGGGTCGGCCACGTGCAAGGCAAACACCCTCCCCACTATACTATCGCTCCGGCCCTGGGCACTGACTTCGACTCCATCTTCATGGTCATTTATTTCACGGCTCCTGAGGATTAACTCTCCAGTGCCTGTGGCCGGAGACCTGGGCTGCATCGCCGTCCATCATGGTGGTGGTGGTGGTGAGGGGGGGAGGGGGAGGTTGACATTCCTCGCTGGTGATTCTGGGAGAGATGATGGCAAAGCTGGGTGAGAGCCATCTCTGTAGCCCCCAAAGAGCAGATGGCAGGCGTCCCAGGAGGGCAGGAGGGCACTGGACCCCCGGACTCCCCGCTGGACAGGACGGTTACCTGGAGGAGCTGTGCCAACAGCAGCGTGGGACTCTTTCCACTCTCTGCTTCCTTTCCTCCCCCCTGAGTGTCTGAGGCGGCAATGTTTTTTTATCACCTCATCTCATATGTGGGGGCTCCCGGCAGCGGTGGGAAGGAGCAGAGAGTGCAAACATCTCACCCGGGCCCGGCCCAAAGCCCGTCAGCACAGGAAGTGGATGTGGCACCCACGCAACTCTGGCCCACAGGTGATAGGGAGGAGGAGGTCTGTGGTAAGAAAAACGGAGGCAGGTGCCAGGAGCCCTCAAGGTGATCACAAAGTGACAAGGTCCTGGTGGGTTTACCTTGGGAACCTTGGCTCAGACGCGAACTTGGAGAGCGAGTCAGGGGCATGGACGCCAAGGACAGTGGAGCCCCCCCCCCCGCACCTCCACCCAGCCGGGAATCTGTCAATCAAGAAGGTGGGGTTCAGGGGCTGCCCTGGGACACTGCATGAAATAGCCACGCATACTTGCATGCACTCACACACACACATCCCTGGCTAACTTGCTTAAAGCAACAGTCA